CATGGAGGGGGCAGGAGGGAGCAGGAGGACAGTGCTGGTGGGACACGCAGGGTGTCAGCAGCACATCCTGGCTTTGCTTGTGTCCACAATGGGGCTGGCAAGGCCAYGGCTGTGGCGGGTGGTGACGGGAGTGGGGACGGGGCTGGATGGGGCTGGTGGCCCTGGGACCATGTGCATGTCCCCTCAGGGGACACAGAGGTGGCCAGGGGGAGCATCTCTGCAGGTGAGCACCCAAYGCTGTCTCCAGGCTTTTCTTCCCCTCCCTGGGCAGCTGTGCAGCCTTTGGGCTCTGGGGCTGGGAGAGGAGGGGAGYGGGGTCCTGGGGTGCCCCCGGGCCGAGCTGGAGACGCACTTTGACTTTCACTGCCATTTAACAAGCTTGTGTTCCTCTGAGCTTTGTTTTTAATAAAGGTTTCTACTGACTCTGCCCTTTGGCTCTGCTCAGGTGCTGGGGGGGGGTGAGGGGTGGTGGGACCTCACCTGACAAACCAGGAAGTTTGGGGTTATTTTGGGGTCTGCTTCCCAGTTGGAACTTGCAATACAGGAGTAGGTATGTCCATAGGTGGGGCTGCAAGAGGTGCTTTGGTCCTTGTCCCACACAGGGTGGGATCTGGGGCTGTCCTGCCCTCTCTGCTCCTCCAAGGAGCCTGTGCTGCAGGAGGAACCCTGTGATGGGTCTGAATGAGAATTGCTTTCCTTTCAGCAGCCCCAGTCCCCTCCATAGCTGCTCTGCCTGGTCCTTTCCCTGCCCTTCCCCTGGTTTTGGGGCAGCATTTGCCTGGCCCTGGCCACAATGTGGGGTCAGTGTGAAGCCACTCCATGCATCCACTGAGTTCCAGCTYCCCAGTTCACCCCAGCCCTTGGTGCCGCCTCGAGGCACCTGCTGGCACCAGTCTGGCCCAAAGGTTGAGATCCCCGTGTCCTTGCTCACTGGGGACACGCTGTCTGCCAGCAGCAGCCCTGAGTGCCCTGATGGCCTCTGCAGCACAGCAGGACCGAGGGACCTTTGGGGACCCCCAGGGAGGAGTGCCATGGAGCCTCTGGCAGCCTGGAGCACGTTTGGGGCTCATGGCCACTGCCCGAGCCAGGGACGTGCTGCTTTGCTGTTCCCAATGGTGTTTGTTCCCTTTCTCCCCTCCCCTGCCCYTCCTCCTCCCGGTTTTCCTTTAAACAGCCTGATCAATGTTTCACCCTGACACGTTGTGTGAGCTCACACTGCTCCTGCASTGGCAGGAATGCGATCCCAGGCTCTGGACGGGCACAGAGAGCCCACCCCCCTGCCTGCCTCCTGCTCCTCATCCCACCCCTGGGGCAGTCCCTGCCTCCAGTGCTGTCCCTGGATGTTCTTACAGCCAGACCCGCGTGGATGGCAGCGTGCAGGTGTGGGGTGCCAAAACCCACAGCTCAGCTCTGCACGCCGTTCCCTTTCCCAGCTTTCCCAGCTTTCCCAGCCTTCCCCAGCCTTCCAGAGCATGCAGCAGAGCCAGCCAGAGCCCTGCCATCTCAAGGGGCAGTGTCACACACAGGCTGCCACGGGTGACCGCTGTGCCCGAGCAGGAAGAGGTGGTGCTTGTCAAGCTGTCACCCCTCTAATGGGGTTTTTCAGACAATTACACTGGAATGGTGTTCCTGTGCTCCAATCCATGGGATTCTGACCCCACAGAGCCAGGGCAGGAGGAGGGGGGATCAGGTGGGAGGACATGGACCCTGCTGTGTCCTTCATTGCAAGGTCCATGTTTGTCACCTGAGGTGACAGGTGCTGCAGGTTTTATGATTTMCTGCGGGGTGCTCATCCCAGCCATACACCAACTCCTCCTCATCCATCCCTCCTCCTCCTCCTCCTCTCCCCTGCTCAATTCCATTGTGATGGAGGGTGATGGTGACCTGCAATGATCCCAMAGGGGAGAGACCCTGGTGCAGGAGTTGGTTTTGACGGAAACCAGGAGTCACAGAGAGAGGGGAGAGGACTCACCCTGACATCCTGAGCTGCATGGGGCTGTTCCCACAGCCAGCCAAGCCCCAGCAGCAGCACAGCTTTGCCTCTTTCTGAGCAAAGGCACACCTTTCTGATGGCATCCCCATGGCATTCCCCTCTCAGGGAACCTCCTGGGATGCCGGACCCCTGGGACTCCCAATCCCCCCGGCAGGGACAGGRCCGTGTCCCTCTGAGGCACAGCCCATCCCTGGGGGCTGCATTGGCATCTCCACGTGAGCCACGGCACCGCAAAAATAACCACTCTGCCTCCCAGGATGATTCACCATGCAGCTGAAGGGCTTCCCTCCTGCTATTTCGGATCGCWGGAGAGGGAGCTGATGATGGCTGCTTTGGAAGAGCACGTGGCAGCTTTGGGAAGTGGCCCCAGGTGCTGCCTGGTTTTATTTATCTGCTCCAAAGATGCTTTTCTTTGKCGGGTAAAGGCAACACAAGGCAGGAGACAGGCACCCTGCACCTATCCCATCTGCTCCATGGGATCTCAGCTCCCATCTCCCATTCCCAGGCAGTGTGACCCCGCAGAGATGTGTCCATCCAGCCCTGGGGTGCTGTTGGGCTGCAGTGATGGCTCCATTGGCACTGGAAAATGCTGTGCAGGATTCAGCCACAGGGCTGAGCCCAGGCAGCCCTGGGGTCTCCTGTCCTTGTGCTGTGGGGGAATCAGGATGGCTCCACAGTGGGATGAACTCTGGGATAGTGGCATTGGCATTAGGGGTTTATACCTTTAACTTAATCCCCCTCAGAGGATCCTAWAGGGTTTTGGGGTCTTTAAAGGCAGGGGTATCCTGCCCCACTTCTGCATCCCTTATTTCCATTTCCAGAAATCTCTCCTGTTTTCTTCACAAGGAAAGAACWCCAGGAGGTGAACTGCAGCATTGTTTATTTCTGGGATGCTGTTCAATGGGTGCTTCCCTTAATTCCAGCCTGTTGTGGTGCTGGGGAGCAAAGCAGAGCCCTGGTGTCCCCCACAGCTGGGGCCATGTCCCCTTTCCCTGCCACGGCTTTTTGGAATTACCTGTGGAATTTGGGAGCACTGGTGCCTCCTGCCACCAGCAGTTCYGCCCTGAATTTCATCCTCTCTCCCAGACTCCTCTTTCCCACATTTCTGCTGACTCTGTGCTGAATCTGAGGATCCCAGTGGGTGCCAGCATGGATTTTAGCAGAGGGGAGAGCAGGGAGCCCCTCCAAGGAGCTGACCCAAGCCCCTTCCACGCTCCCTGGCAAGGTGATCCCCATCCCTGCTGCATCTCTTGCCTGTGCTCTGTTCCTGCTCCCATTTCGGTTGGATTTGACAGTGGCAGCTCTCCCTGGGGACAGGGACAGCCCCGTGCCGAGCTCGGTGAGCACACGTGAACCCGGAGCCCTGGGATGCCCCTGCCAGGGCCCAGGTGTGCTTCTTCCACCTCCTTTGCCGTGCACACACCTGGAACAGCTGGGAGATGGTAAAAATAGCTGCGATGCCGTGGGCTCAGCTCGGAGCGCGTGATCCCCGAGGGAGCAGGAGATGAGTGAGCTCCACGTGCCGCAGCTCGCTCGCGTTGGGATGGGGAACGAGCTGGGTTTTGGGTGAAGCAGAGCTGAGCTCAGCATTCAGGGTGTTCTGGAGAGCTCCATGTGAAAGCAGAGGTGATGCTGAGGGAGGCAAAGCCTGCCTGGGATTTTGCAAAATCTGAGGAAAATCGGTTCATGCCCCTTTCTCTGTCAGTGAAATCCTGAAAGGCGGGCACAAGCCTCTGAGTGGGATGGGGGTAGCTCCTCCTCCTCCTCCTCCCCAACCTGCTGGGGCAGGATGAGGGTTCACATCTCTGGAGGTCCCAGGATATTGCTCTGGAGGGAAGCAGCCTGGAGCATGGAGGAGCTGGCATCACCAGAACTCACTTGGAGCCACCCTGGGTATCARGGGACCACTCCAGAGCCACCAAAACCACAGTGGGACCACCTGTGGTAAAACTGGGGCCTAACCAGGGCCAGYTGAGGAACCCAGGACTTTCCCAGGGCTGACAGCATCCACATTGGGACCAAATGGGGTCAAACTGGGACCAAGGGGGGCAACATGGGCTATCCCAAAKTCAACAGCGGCTGCTCTGGGATCACCTGTGGTCAAACTGGGACCAACGGGGGCCACGGAGGGACAACCAGGGCTATCCTAGAGGCAGCTGTGACCACACTATGACCACCCATGGTCAAACTGGGGCAGCCCAGGAACAGCTGGGGCACCCAGGGCTACCCCGGGGCCAAGAGCAACCACACTGGGACCACACTGGCTCAACTGGGACCAGCTGGGGCTGCACTGGTGTGATCAGGTCTATAGTGGGGCCGACAGCAACCACGCTGGGATCCCCCACGGTCAAACTGGGACCACTTGGGGCCTCATTAAGGGCACCCAGGGCTGTGGTGGGGTCAAAAATGACCACACTGGGACCATCCATCACCAAACTAGAACCACCCTAGGGGCAACTGAGACACCCAGCGCTACTGTGGAGCCAACAGTGACCACACTGAGACCACCCGTGGCCACTCTGGGATCAGCTGGGACACTCTGGGACAGTCATACCACCCATGAGTGGCAACACACCGGGCTGTACCGGGTCCGACTGGGAACCGCCACCGCCAGCGGGCACSGGGACCCAGCGCGGCCCCGCCCCTCTCCCTGGCGCAAATCACATTGGTTGTTCTTGGTGCCAATCACGGCCCGCAGCCAATGGGATCACGGAGGGGGCGGGCCCTCCGCAAAGCCAAAGTTGGCTGGGGCGGCGGAGGCGCTCGGCTGAGTCCGGATCGGCGGGGCGCGACCTGCGGACGAAGCCGAGCTGAGCCGAACCGAACCGAACAGAACCGAACAGAACAAAACAGAGCCGAGCTGAGCCGAGCCGAACCCTTCCCTACACGACCAAACCGAGCCGAACCATCCCTGCCGAACCGAGCCGAGCCGAACCCATCCCTACGGTACCGAACCGAGCCGAGCCCATCCCTACAGGACCAAGCCGAGCGAACCATCCTTGCCGAGCCGAGCCCATCCGTACGGTACCGCACCGAGCCGTGCCCTGAGGCACCGCACCGCACCTTTCCCTCCGGCACCGCACTGCACCCGCGGTACCGCACCGAGCCCACCCTCCAGCACCGCACCGTGCCCTGCGGCACCGCACCGCTCCACGCCGCGTCCCACGGCTCCGCACCGCATCCTCGGGCACCGCACCGCGCCCTGAGGCGTGACACGCTCCGGCATCGCACCGCTCCCCACGGCCCCGCAGCACCCGCACCCGGCGGGACCATGATGTCGTGTGCCGAGCTGCTGGCCGTGTGCCTGCTGTCAGCAGAGCGCGGCCCCAAGCCCCACCGCCAGCCGCTGCCCATCTTCCACGACGTGAGTACCGCGGGCGGGACCCCCGCGCCCTGCGCAGCCCCTCGGGAGCCGCGGCCCGTGTGGGCATCGGGGTGAGGCTCCTTCCCGCCTGGTCCCGCAGGAGCCGGCCCGAGGGATGCGCCAGTGGCTCTGCGGCCGTGCCAGCCGGGAGCTGTGCATGGTCGTGATGGCTTCAATAATGCTGTCGTGTCCTTTTGCTGAATGCTGGGCCTCTGGGTGGCTGGAAACAGCCCACGCCTCATCCAGAGCTGGCTGTCATGACTCCTGGAGCGGGAGCTGTGTCTGGCAGGAACGAACGCTGTGGAAGGTTCCCTGGAGCTGTTCACAGCCATGGGATCTACCAGAGCAGCCCCCGGGTGCAGCCCCCGTCCCTGCCCGCTCCTGASCCGCCGGGATTGTGGAGGCGTGTGCTCCGTGCAGGCTGGAGGTCGCCAGGGCATCCTGGCGGCTGTGGGTGGCACGGGGGAGTGGAAGATGCAGGTGGTGGCTGTCTTTGTGTTCAGACATGCTGGCACGGTTCCTGCTGTCACACCGCGTCCCCTCCGTGATCAGTGTGTCCTGAGGGGAGCTGTGCGCCCTGGGGCCGGGGCTCCGGRGGAGGCGGCTGCAGCYCGGGGCAGAGCYCGCCTCGGGGGCACATCCGAGGTGYCCAGCCCTCCTGCTCCGGGCCGTTTGCCGTGATCTGGGCCGGCTGGACAGCGCCCGAATCTCCCTGGTGAGAGCGCCCCTGCACTCCCATGGGTCYGGCGGCACTGCGATCTGTCACCCTGCGGGCCGAAATGTGCGGGAGGAGGTGCTGCCCCTGCCCTGCCGCAGGGCTGAGGAGGAGGAAGCCAGCGAGGGTTAAGGAGGAGGGCTGGTGGTGCCCTGGCACCTGCACAGCCCAGGTCGGTGCCAGCTGTCACGTCCCAGCTGCCATCTCCGTCTTGTTGGGATCCCGGCTCCCCCCCGTATCCCAGTTCATCCCTAGGAGGGGGAACAGCAGAGCTCGGGCAGCGCTTTGGGWAGGTGAATGGTGGTCTGGTCCAGTTCTAGTCCTCCTGGCATCCTCAGGGAGCGCTGGGGAGCGCGGTCCCTCGGCCGTGGTGCTGCCCGCMTGTTCCAGCTGGGGGTCAGGGTCTCTCTCCTGCCTGGGGGCGGTCGGGCTGAGAGGCTCTCCAGCCATCATCATTAGCCGCACTAATTACTTGGCTGAGGGAAGATGGGCTGGAGGGGGTTGGCTGGTGACAGCTGTGTTCCAGCTCAGCTCCTCAGGGCACTCGTTGAGCCGCACATCTATCCCTCAGGGTGTCATTAAGGCAATTAAAATGGGAAATGTTAACAACGCTAGCAGCTGCTTTCCGGGTTCTGACGGCCTCTCTTCCGCTTCCCTCTGGCTCCTTTGCTCCCGCCTTTGCTCCAGAGCTCGGCAGGGTGAGTTTAATCTCGGCTCTTTTGGGTCTGGGCAGTTGGCCGCTGTCCAGCTGCCCTTGAGGCTTGTCGGGGTGAGCAGCCCACGGCCRCAGGGCAGGAGCCCCGCCTGCCTTCCCGGCAGCACTGCCCACCACAGATCCCGGGGGCTGCTGCTGCCCCTGGGACCTGCCTGCACATCTCCTGCCTTTGGGAGAAGTGAGGAGGAGGAGGAAGAGGAGGATGCTTTGCCTGAGACTGCAAACTGCAGTGCTGCCATCGCCCAGTGCAGCATCTCACRCCTCGGGAGATTTGTCCCCCAGGCTGATGCCCAGGGCTTGCTCGCTGCCCTCCCGGGATACGGGAGTTTCGGGAAGGACGCCGTTCGGGAAGGTGCCTTAGGCTGCCGTGGGTCGATGAGCAAGCGCGTTGTCCCCAGGGCAGCTGTCTGTGTCCCCTCCCCTGGCGGCGGGTCCAGCAGCCGCCGTTGCTTCCAGCCCTGCAGGCAGGGAGGAATCCTATAATCTTCCTCCTTCCCGGGGTTCATCCCCCAGATAAATGCGGGTTCATTGCCTGTTCCCTCAGTCCCAGAGTGGCTGCTGCTGCGGGCTCTGAGTGAGGCTGCAGCTGCTCGGACCGAGCCCAGGGCTGAGGGAAACATCTCGGGCTCCAGGCAGTGTCCCTGCACTTCTGAGGCTGCCAGTCCTCCCTGAGGCAAGGGAGGGATTGCCCATAGGGCCCTCCAGCAGTCCACGCAGACCTAACCCCATTCCCAACCTGGCTTTGCATCACTTTTCCCTGGCTCTGTCCCAGGGCTGCTGTCTGCATCGGGAGCAGCGCTTGCGTCCATTGCTGAGCAGGTCTGTGTGCCCAAGGAGGGGACAGGACTGGCCCTGTGGGGCACGGAGGTGGCTCTGTGCTGTCTGTGGAGGTGGCTCTGTGCTGTCTGTGGGGCACGGAGGTGGCTCTGTGGGGCACGGATGTGGCTCTGTGGGGCACGGAGGTGGCTCTGTGCTGTCCGTGGAGGTGGCTCTGTGCTGTCCGTGGAGGTGGCTCTGTGCTGTCTGTGGAGGTGGCTCTGTGCTGTCTGTGGTGGCTGGAGCTGGGAGCTGGGATCAGACAGGGAYRGGCTGGCCCGAGKCARTGCAGAGCTCTGCCATCCCCGGGGGCTCTGGAGCAGGCACGGCCCTGCCCTGGGGGCTCCCGCAGCTCCGTGCTTGTGCCACGGTCACTCTGAGCTCGGGGCAGCTGTCSTGTGTGACACCCTGCTGGAGCAGTGGGCTCTGGGTGGGGGAGAGGCACCCACTCTGTTTGCTGAGGGTCCTGCTGAACCCCGGATGGGCTCAGCCCAGATCAGAGACCTTCTCAGCCCTGGATATCCCTGAAATCGTGCTCTGCCTCTGAGCCCTGCTGAATGGCCAGCATGTGCCCTCACTCRAATCTGCATCCAGGTGACACTTGACTGTCTCTGGGATGAGCTCGGTGGCCTTGGTGACATCTGGAGCCACAGAGGTGTCATTGCATGAGCTGTGTGTCCCTCTGATGACACAGAGCTCTGCAGGATGAAGCTTTTCCCTCGGTCAAGGCCTATGGCAGGTTGGCAGGACATGTGGGACACACTGGCACTGCCCCTGCAGCCGTGAGACCCCACAAGGAGCCCATTAGCCTGGAGAAAATTTTGCTTTAAAATCGAGAGAAATTGCCACTGTTTGGGAGGCGCAGGTTCCCATCACAGCTCCAAAGTGCCTCCACCAGGCCCTGTGTGGTGCTCAGGGAGTGCCAGCCCTGTGCTCCTGCCAGGGGAACAGCCTGGCCGGCTGGAATCCCAGAGGGATGGTTACCTGGAGCTGCTCGGGCACTCCATTCCCTGCAGCAGCCTGGGGCAGGAGGAGCTCCCTTTGCTCCGAAGAGCATCCTCCGAGGAACTGTCCCTGCTTTGGGTTGTGGGGAAGGACCAGGGAGCTCCAGCATCAGAAAAGCCTCTGCCAGCTGAAAGCCAGCACCTCAGGAGCATTTCTTGGGCAGCTCTTTCTTTACCTCAGAGCAGTTTTTCAGGGAGATTTCAGCAGCTGGATCCGTGCCCTCGGAACACGCAGCAGAGCCAGGGTGGGCGGTGTGGGAGGAGCCAGGGGCGGAGGGGGCAGCGAGCGGGGCTGCTCCGGGGGCGACATGAGGGCGAGAATAGAAAAGTTCTGTCTCCTTTCCCTGCCATTTTCCTCTCCTAGTCCTTCTTCAGACCTGCGGATTTCTTCATCATCCAGATGAAGAAATTTCTTCATCATCCAGATTTCTTCAGGATGATACAAAGGAGAGTTGCYACACGCACAACTTTCTGTCGTTGGTTTCGTTAGGATGTGGGAGCCAAAACCTCGTGTTGTTGGTCTGGGAAAACATTCCCAGGCTTCGGAAGCGATGCTGTTCCCCACAGGAGTCAGCTCTAATGATTACTGGTGGAACAGATCCCGGCAGGGATCAGTAGCCCCAGCCTTCTCCTGGGGAGAAGCCTCGTGGTTAGGAACCCGCCTTGATACCCTGAACTGGAGCAGCTCTCCAGCCGTGCTCTGTGGCAGAATTAGTTACAGATTAATTAATGCATTAATAATTAATTCCTGCGCACGTGCACGTTGAGGTGTTGCAGGAAGTGCCGTGCTTTGGGGTGGTTGCAGAGCTCGGGGCAGGAGCTGCGCCTCGGTGCAGGTGGCTGAGAGCTGCTGATGCACAAAGTGGGTTTGTACTTAACGTTCTTTCGTTTAAATGGACTGAAAAATTAAACAGTTGCTATCAGAAGGATGTAGAAAAGGCCTTTCTGCTTCTCCTCTGTTCTCGGAAAGGCKCTCGCTGTCAGTGCCGGGCTCGCTCGGCCAAGGGCTCTGTGCATTTGTGCATTAGRGGCCAGAAATGGGTTTAATCTTTGGCAAAGGGGAATTTCCCGGAGCAGCCAGCGCAGTYCCAGCAGCTGGGGCTTCTCCACGGCTCCCTGAGCTCCTGGAGGAGATTTCCCGTGGTGCTGGGTGCTCGCTGTTCAGCTGCCCTTCTCTCCCTGCTGYCCCRYTGAGCCCTGGTGTGTTTTGTCTTGCAGATTTTCCGGCGAGCCGACAAGAACGGTGAGTGCTTTGTTCGTGCTGCTGCCTCCCCCTCCCTGCCCGGCTCTGGCTGAAGCACTGGGGCTCCTTCCCACCGGGAGCTTTGGCTGAAACAGAGAGGGAGGGAGGGAAGGAAATGCTTTTCTGCTTGGGCCTGGCCAGGGGCTGGGGAGTGGGCTCCCCAAATTCTCCATCCGTGCACCATGCAGCCAATCCCTTCTCCTGGCCCAGGGGCTGTCAGGCTTCTCCTCTGTCTCTCACAGGGTTGGTTCTGTCTCTGTGCTCAGCCCAGGGTTTTCCACGTGCCCCTGGTTGGGTGATCCTGTTTCTGGGTGCCTCAGAGACCCAGGCATTTGGGAGTTAGATTCTGCTACCCAGTTTTTAACCCAGCACCCTGTTTTTTAAACTCAGCCAAGAGGCCCAAATCACAAGTGGTTTTTCTGAGCCTTCCCACCCTTTCTTGGGCTCTCCTCCTTCGTGGCAGCTTGGAGGCTCGAGGAGATGCTTTTATGGCAGCCCACAGTGCAGCCCAGGAGCTGAAGTCCTCCACAGAGAGGAAGCAAACAGCTCTTGAGTCAACAGAGAGCATTTTCATTCCATGAGAACCCAACGCTGCCCTCGCTGTGCAGTTTGTGACGGACTCCTCTCTCTGACAGTCACCTAATGGCTGTTATTTCTGAGAACCCTGCAATGAGGGCTTTTAGAAGGGGCCAGAATTCCCACCTGGAGCTCCAGCAGCACTCCTGTGGTTTTGCCAGGCTGGTGATCCCACTTTCAGGCAGATACCTGCTGCAGTTTCCGTGCCCAACACGCCCAGCCATCCCACGCAGCCGGGGAGGCTCGCGGGGCCGCGGCGCTGCTTCCCACACGTCTATAATTACCCTTCCCTTCCATCCCAACGCAGATGAYGGGAAGCTGTCGTTCGAGGAGTTCAAGAACTATTTCTCTGATGGCATCCTGAGCTCGGAGGAGCTGTGGGAGTTGTTCAGCAGCATTGACAGGCGTCACTCAGAGTGAGTACCGCGGCGCCGGGGGAGACGCGCGGAGAGCTCACAGTGCCTGGCTGGGGATGGAGGACAGCTGGGGGCGGGTGTGATAAATAATCAGGGTGACACAAACCCACCTCTCGCCACACRCAGATGCTCCAACCCATTGAGCACCCAATGGGAGCAGTCAGACATTTTGAGAGCAGCGATCGCATTGACTGCAGTTCAGGAAGCGAGCGAGTGTTTCAAATGCTGTTATTTCRGTTTGGAAAATGTATTCTGGAATTGCCAGCCCGTGGAGCAGGCTGTGGGTCTGCAGGGTGAGGACACGGCACAGACTTGGCCACTGCTGACACAGGGAGCTGCTTCYCACTTATGTAAGAGCTGCTTTTCACCACAAGTGGGCCCGGTGTGTGTAATGGGGAATTTAGGCCAGCTACTGCAAAAAAAGAAAGCTCCAAAGAACAGGAGAAGGAATYGTGTTGGCTCTGATCTCCTCTTGAGTGATGCTATCCAGAGGAGTCTGCTGGGATTCACATCCCATCTTTCTGGGAGCTTTGTGGCCTCACTGGGGTCCCTCTGCCCAGCTGGCTGCTATGGGTGAGTCTGTCTGGGCACTGGGAGGAACTGGGTGCTGATACCTTGGGGTCTGGGATCTGTCCAAACCTCGGGGTGCTGCTGGGGGATGAGGGGCTGCATCCTCCCAGCCTGGGTGGCACATTTGGCTCTGGCTCCTGCCGCTTCCCCAGCACCCTGGGGAGCATCTCCTGCACCTCTGACATCAGGTGAGAGAAATTTGGGGCAGCCTGAGTTGCCCAGGCTGGTCCCAGGGCTTTGCAGGCAGCCAGGGCMGTGGCACAGAAGGCTCTTGTCACACTGAGATGCCAACAGCCACCAAGAGCAGACACACAGGGGTCCCCACAGCACCCACCCAGCCTGGGGCAGTGGGAATGATGCTGGAGCTGGGTTTATTCCCCACTGCAGGGATGGGCAGAGAGCTGGGCAGGTGTGAGCAGCATTGTGCTGCTCTCCTTGGATCCCAGCTGCCTGTCCTGCTGCCTGGGCTGGTGGCTGTGGGCAGCACGAGGTGTCTCCTGAAAACATCTCTGTCTCTTTGGGCTGAGATCCCTGGAAATTGGCAGCAAGCTGCTCCCTTTCCTCTGGAAATGCTCCTTTCCTCTTGCTCCACTTTAGAGTGACTTTGGAGTCACAACGTCCCTGGGAAACACGGGGTGTAGCAAAACCTGGAGTTTGAACTCAGCTCAAAACCCAGCAGGAAAGGTCTCCAGCCTTCAGGTCGGGCTGGTCCCTGTGTGGGGAGCAGCTGAACAGGCCTGAGGGATGCCTGTGCTGCCTGGAGAGCCATGGCAGCCCCTGACAGCTCRTTAGCCTAACGAGGGTGCCGTAGCTATGACAACGTGGCAATGGCAGCACCGGGCTGGTGACATCTATTTGCAGGGCATCAGCGTTGGGGCTTTGTTCTCCTCCTGCCACCCAAAGCAGAAGGGACCCTCAGACAGAGCTGTTCCCAAATTCCTGCTTTTGGTGGTTTCCAGCAAACACAGGAATTGCCAGTTTTGGGGTCTGCAGGACTTGGTGTTGTATGAGGGCTGTGCTGGTGTCTATGTCAGGAAAATTAATCCACAAACACCAGTGGTTTATGTCCAAAAGGAGACAGAGCAGTCCTGTAATTTCATTCGAATAAAGGGAGAGGCCATGGGACATTTCCATGGGGTCTCTCTCATTGCTGGAGGGCCCAGACTCCTTTTTATCCCAATTTTCAGGCTGCAGTTCCCTCTCTCTTTCCCCATTGCTGAGGTACTGGGGAGGCACAGACTGCCCCAATCCCCTAACACAGACCCCCTTCTCATGTGCATCCCCCCCCCCTTTTTATTCTCGGTGTCTCTGTTCTTTTTCTCTCAGTCCAGGGATTCAGCACAGCCTTGGGTCAGTACCAGTCTGTGTCAATGGGTGGAATTCCCATGGAATTTATGGTTCCATCATTGCTCCTTTCCCCTGTCAGTGTCTGGCTTTACCTACCAGCAGACCCAACAGTTTGTTTGTAAAGACACCTCTGTCTCATTCCTTTCACCCTGCTGTCCCCATGTGGGGGGCTGCACAGCCCCTCTCCCCTGGCCTTGCCTTGCACTGGCAGAAGTTGATATTTTAGAGAGCTGGCCAAAATTTGCTGGCGGATTCCAGGGTATTCCAAATCTGGGAAGCAGCCACAAGCCCTACAAACAGATCTGGAGTGCTGCTTTTGTGTCTTGGAGCTCTTGTGAGGATGCTTTGCTGAATGCAGTGTGGATTTGGTGCTGTGTTTGTGAGGTCTAGGCTGGAATTTGTGTTTCTTTGTCCCTGCCAGCCTGACCTGGTACAGACAGTGACAGAGACCTTCATTCCCAGGCCCTCTCTGTGTCCAGCAGTGCCCACACCCATCCTGACCCTCAGCCACCCCTGGAACCTGCAGCTGTCCCCCTGGGAACAGGAACATTTCACACGTGTCCCACATTGCTGRTTCTCCTCCCAGAGAGCCCCACACTCTCCTCTTTCCCTCTCCCACCCCTCTGGCACCCAGGTGAGATGCTGGGACCCCTCATACACCCCTGACAGGGTCACTGCAGATTCCACGTGAGGCTGTTTTTATTCTGCATTTCAGAAAATTGCATTTCCATTTTGGCTTAAAGTATCCCCCGACTTTAATTCTGTGTTTTAAAGAACAGAATTTAAAGTTAAATTTGTTAATTTAAAGTTAATTTTGAAAACAAATTCATCCCTGGAGGCAGTGGTACAACAGCCAGGTCCATGGGTTTTGTTTGGCTTGGCCAGAAGCTCCACACCAGCTCTGGCACTGGCACAGGAAGGGCCATCCTCTTGGAAAAGAGCATTTTTGTCCCCTGAAACGTCTTGGTGTGATGAGACTGATGGTTTTTGAGGGACGAGAGCTCCAGAGCTGCATCCAGAAGCATCTGGAGGGTTACRCTGTGTGATTTGCTTTCTGAGCAGCCGTGTGTCTATCTGCAGCCCAGCTGGGTGGGATGGCAGCAGATCCCAGGGTGTCACTGATCCCAGGGTGTCACTGGGATAACAGCAGATCCCAGGATGTCATTGGGTAACAACAGATCCCAGAATGTCACTGATCCCAGATCCCAGGGTGTCACTGGGATGGCAGCAGATCCCAGAGTGTCACTGGGTAACAACAGATCCCAGGGTGTCACTGGGATGTCAATATATCCCAGGGTGTCACTAATCCCAGGGTTGTCTCATGGAAATTTGGTTCCCAAAGCCCTTGGATTGAAGGCTGTGGCACTGCAGGGGTTGGGTGCCTGCCCTGTGGAACCTGCCYAGGAAAGTGCTGCTTGCATTTTACATGTCCTTCTGTCCTGTACTTGTTGGGGAAATGTGAAAAAGTGAAGTCTGGAAATCCATCTTTCCATGAGGGTGTTCAGGAATTGGGTACAGATTGCTCAGAGCCTTTGACCTGGAGCCACAAGGGGTGGCAGAGACCCAGTGGCTCTTTAAATCTCTCAGTGGAAATAACCTCCAGCCCGTGGTTCTGTGGAAGAAGGGATCTGAGTGAATTCCCTCCCCTCTCTTTACTCAGAGCTGCAGCATCTGCCAGTCTCTGGATGATAGACAGAGACTGAAACACTCTGTGTCACATGGAAAAGCCTTGGAAACCAGATCTGTGATGGCAGTGGAGGTTCCCAACGTGATAAATGATAAAAATAAAAATTAAAAAAAAAAAAAATCTGTCTGCTTTTCTGCAGCTGATTGCTGTTTTCTTGCATAAATTCTGGGCACATTCTGACAAAATCCCAACAGCATAATGATGACAAGATCCTTCATCATCAGTTCAGGCTTAATTACAGTTAATCAGTGGTTTGTGCACAGTCAAAATACAGCTCTGGGAGATGTGGAGAGTCTCAGGATGAGTGCTTTGGAGGCAGAGAACGGCTCTTCTCCTGGAGTGGGAGTGGGAATGGCAGAGAGGAGCAGAAAAAAGCCTGCTGCCCCTGGCAGCCCTGCAGGATGGGTCAGGATTTGGTTCTTTCCATGAGCTCCTCTGGGTTTTGRTGTGGGTTAGTTCAGGTAGCACGAGGATGGCACCATCAGCTCTGGGGTTTGCTTGCTGTGCTCTGTTCTGCCCCTGTGCATTTTTGGCGTTTTCTACCTTGATGACCTGTGCACTTAGGATCCTATTAAAATACCGAGGTAAAACCCTTTTATCCCCTTAACTGTGTTTGCCTCATCATTCTAAAAGCAGCCAAAAGGCAGCACCTGTGCCTTGGGGCTGCTGCAGGATGTGGGATGTGGGATGTGGGGAGAGATTCCCATGCAGGGCTGCTGATGGAACTGGCTGCAGCAGGAAGGGAAGAGAGCAGACCTTCCCTGGGACAGCTCCCAGAGGGAGGATTTTTGCTATGAGATCTCGTGGATTGGTCCAATGTTAGTGGTTTAGGAATTGATTAGTTAACATTTCTTTTTAAGCAGCAGACAGACAGGATATAAAGAGTTATCAATAACCTCTGGCCTCTCCTCAGAACCCAAACGGTGGGAGTTGATGGCAGCTCATTGTCACACCTCGCTGGAGCCGACTTGGGAACTGGCAATGGGTTGAGCTGGTGGCTCCTTTTCCCTGGTGAAATCAATCCCAGCCCCAGRTTCTCCCTGGACCAGTGCAAACACCTGGATAACACGTGTACGAGGTGTTCCACTGGGTATTTTGTTATCAAATGCCCATAAAGTCCCTTCTTTGGTGACTTTAACCCTTCTCTCAGTTGGGCACCAGTGGTTCCCTGCAGCGCCAGCTCTGGGGCACACCTCTGCCAAGCTGTGCCGTGGCTGCTGCARTGCCAGGGCTCCTGCAGCACTGCAGCAGYTCTGCAGGCWCCAAGGGCTGCCAGAAATAAAGGGGAGACATTTAAAACGGAGCAAAACCTCTTCCCAATGTCCTCTGTGCTCTGAACCCCAGTGTCTCTGTCTGGCAGAGCTGCTCAGGATGGGATCAGCACGGTTGGAGTGGAGCTGGTGTAGAAAGGGGCTGTGCCTTTGCAGCTTTGCCTGCACTGAGTCCCGAGGGAAATGCGGTTTTTTAATGCACTTTACAAAGTGCCTGCAGTGCCAGGTCAGTGCGCAGAGCCCGCCCGAATCAGCTCCTGCGCGTTCCGAGGGACTGAGCCGAGTCCCGGCTCACTCTGCCCCTCTCT